AAATTAAGTTGGAAACACAGAAGTGAAAACACTGGTTTCACAGTGGCACTGCCTGGTGAGTTCTGCCAGCCGCCTTCACCTGCTGGGTGAATGAATGTTACTGTAAATCTGAACTCAAATTAATTCATGCAGATTGCAATTGTTCTTTGCACTTAAACCCTGACCCAAAAGGTGTGCCTTTTCCTGTGGTAATATGATCGGCCTGGTAGTTTCCAGGCACTTGAAAACAAATTCCTGCAGTATAAATAAACAGATAACAGAAATTATCATAATGAAATCAACATTGCTAAAAGCAGACAAAGTACCAAGTCCACACAATTTGCAATCGTATTAGAAGCCATGGAAGGAAAAAATTAGTACACCTTTTGGGGCCCTGTTACAAAAGAGTCACTCCATTGAGTTTTGCCGGTTTAGAGCAAACAAACCTTTTTTAAATATTTAACGAAGATTGAGACTGCTTCCTGAAAAACTGAAGCCAAAGTCTGAGCTGATCTGATTTGAAATGAGGTCATCAACTCTTAAGCAATTTTATTCATGGCAGGTAGGAATTCAATTCCTCGTATTTCAGAGTTGTGTATGATTTCCTTTTTACTTACAGCATAAGAAATATGATCAAGCTTCTTCATCTGTTGAAAGAAATATGTATACCATTCATGCTGTAGAAACACTTGTGTATCTGATGGCTGCCAGTTTTCTTAGGACTGTAGCCAAAGAATTCTTTCTGATTTCATGGCTCAAAATTAGGAGCAAATGTAGGTGACGAGGGTTTTTTTTACCTGTCCAATGCTAAAAAGGTATGGCCTTTTTTATATTTTCTGTAATAAGTATGTCAGTTAGTTTGGAGAAGTCAAGGATGTAGTTATGTACCTTGAATCTGACCAAGCTTTCACTGAACTTTCAGCTGCGACTGATTGACTGCATGGGGGGGAAATGCGAGGCTTGTGTTGCTTAGTAGCCCTGAAAAATGACTGCTGAGAAAGCGCAGGGCTTTGCTTGAAGAAAAATTGTATAGTTTTACTAACAACTTCTCTTTTGGCTTAAAGAGGACACCGACAGAGGAGAAATAGTTGTTTTACACAAGGACTGGGTGTTTCACGGGTTCCCCCCCTCCCCCAAGCAAAGCTGTTAACAACTTGTTGATAACTGCGACTTATTACCAGCCCTGTTGTTTGTGATGTTACTGGGAGCTTTGCAATACTTTGTTTCCCACCCCTCTTTTTTTCTTAAAGCTCCAGTTCCTGCAGTGGCATTACATGTGTAAAAACCAAAGTCAATCTAGCTCTGTTATGATGGGGAAAAAAATAAAAAAAAAATAAATTAGCTGACTTCATCCTGAAGACAGATTAAAAAGAACTCAAAATACTGTCAAATGTGAAATTGCTTGGGTTTTAGCCTCATAATCATTGCTTGTATGCCTCGGGATGGATTGTATTTCAGTGGTTTAAAATGATGTCTGAGGAGAAGAGTAGGAAAATGATTAACATTCAAAGGCAGACTGGATTTCTAGAGTGATGTATTAGTACTAATACATCCCTCTTTGCACTGATGTGATGTGCACGTATCAACCGGTTCGTCTTGTCTGTCTGTCAGATTAAGGGAATATGACCCCCTTACCTCCAGGCTCCTATTTTTTTCCCTGAACCCAAGCTTCTCATCTTTCAAGGCTTTGTTAAGACTATTTTAAGAGACTTTCTTTGGGCAAGGAGCCAGAGGGATTAGACACAGGCCAGATCATCCTATAAAGCCGGGGATGAATGCACCCAGGAAGCGTAATTTACCTGAAGACACGTAGTTCTTGTGTGTTTATCATACTCTCCAATAGTAGTGGGTAATGAAAAGGGGCAAAACTCATGTTTTAGCAGCTCTTGAGCCTTTAGGTCAAAAGGATTTAATTTGCTTGGGATGTTCTGCATTTTCTGACATGCAAATGCAAGCATCTCTGACTGATATTAGCAGAGAGCTGCAAAGGCAGCAGGCATACTTTCTGTTTGCCATCTAAACCTCACGCTACCAAACCTGAGTGACTCTTCCTGGTGAAACTCCTAAGTTGTGCAAAATCTAGCCTTGAACCAGGTCATGATAGTGGTATCAGATGATACGGGCAACATTGCCTTTCTTATTTCAGCCTTCACTAAAACGCTAAAAAAGTAGGAGTCTGTCAGAGCTCAGCAGCAGGAAATCACGACAGTTAACTCCAAGGAGCTGCCTCCCTTCCCTGGCAGATACTGCCACTGTTGAGGTGCTGACATCAGATCCCTTCCTGAACGATAAGAGACTTGTTGAGTGGTTGGGATGGGGCAGGACCTCTGAGCTTTCAGTCTGGTGTATTAAGGTAAATGGAAAATGTTTGGTTTTACAAGTTGCTCAGTGGTTTCTGCTTTGTGAATGGCACCTCTTCTCCAAGAGCTGGTGCTTGTAACTCAGCTGCAGAGGTTTCATTTGCCACTGCCATATAGCTCTGCTTGAGCTATTTTAAATCAGCTAGACTGTTTGAAATATATCTTGTGCCCCTTTCATCTGAAGAACTGTAGCAAACTTTTTTTCCCTGCCAAATAATTCTTTTTAATGTGGGGAAATACCTTGTAAACTGAATATGTTCAAAGCACAACCTCCTATGTTTCTTCTCTACCTCCAAATCAGTATTCAGGACTCTGCCGAAGGCAAAGGACTATGGGGCACTAAGTAAGAACTTGTCTCCACTGCTTTTAGAAACAAACAGATTTTTACCTTAGACTTGCTCAGACGTTGGGGGGGTGGGGGGGGCAGGAGAGGGAGTGGAGGATGAATGAGAGGAATCAGAGAGAAGATACTCACTAAACTTCTGTCAGCCTAAATTGAGCTTTGCTGGTGAACCTGAAATGAAGGAGAAAAAACCCAACTTGTTTTTAAAGTATGTTTCATCATGTGATAATTTCATGAATGTTAGTCACTTGTAGAGACATGCTCTGTAGGGTCTGGGATATTTTTAATAGCAAAGATACTGTCTGAGATGAGTGGACCAAGTATATACTTTAAAGCTGGACAGAAACTGGAATTTCTGTTCCCTATGCATTCTAGAATTTGAAATTTACATTATTTGAAATTAGGATGCGGAGCTGAATTTCTGAATATCTTTGATTTGGGATTAGAGAATTGTTTTGTTCCAGACAGACAAAAACCAGATTTTAAATATGTATGTATCTTTAGCATGGAGGTGTAGCGTTAGTATTTAAAGACATTGTAATGACATGTTTTCACATAAGTCAAATTGTGTGATTTTCAATTTTTTGTTTCAAAATCAGTTAAAATCGGTAATTCCTGAAAATATTTCACCTTTAACAGTTTCCTTTTTCAGAAAAGTTTCATCTGAATTCAGGTGTTTTTAATCAGTTTCATTGATAAATACAGAACAAACACAGATGCTTTACTCTTTGTAATACTACTCTTTAGAAGGGCTATTTCTCAAAACATCTTCAAAATAACCCCTTTAAAAAGTTTTAATATTATCACTGATCTTGTATATTAAGACAATGATACAAAATAGTGCTACAACAGTATTTTGAGTTTCGTTTCTTTGGCAGAAGACTTTCTTTTTCCAAAGATGGTTCTTAACTCTGGAGCCAAGAACTGGATGGTGTGAGCAAAGCAGAGGATTCATCTTTGTGGGGAAGTTATGATAGGAAGACAAGCCAGGATGCTAATGTCATGCATGGTGGCTTTCTGGACCACTGTCCTTGTGGCAAGGGTGTGAGGGACCTACCTCTGCTTTTGGAAGTAAACAGAATCTGAGTTTGTCCTGCCAGGCAGATGGAGTATCATCCGTTCCCTCAGGTTTTTGTGATGTGATGGAGATATGCTGAGATTTTAACCCTGTGTGGGAACCTCTGCATATGAGTAAAGTCCGAGAGATTCTGATTAAATATAAAACAATTATTTTAAGGCTTGCCTGTGCAATGAGGTCACTGCATAGCCAGGGAGGGTGTGAGTTGATGACACATCAATTATATTACATAAATTCCCTGCATGGCCATTCTTTAGGTGTCCCTGTTCAGGGGTGTCTTCGGAAATGAACTGCACTACTGTGGGTTTAGGGAACTAGTGATCCCACTCACCAAGTTAGCACAGTGCTGTGAATTTGCTGCAGGCAATCCAAGAAATATATCCAGGCTTGGCTCAAGGTACTTCAAGTGACGGTACCTATCATGTATATGGCTGTCTAAATCAGATAGATGTTCCCGTAGTTGCCCAGAGGATTTAAGAGGAACTGGGTTTGCCAAAGGGAATATCTTATTCTTTTTTCTTTATTTTCTGGCACTAATTGTTGGTTTAATTTTGTTTGTTTGTTTGTTTTTTAGTAAAGCTTGATGATCGTAAAGATGCGCATTTTAAGAAGCATAAATATTGTACTCACTCTTCCATGTTCTTGTGCTCTAAATGAGTGAAAGGCCGTCGGTCCAGGAACCTTATCTAATGATATAATCATAGGCACATTTTCAATGTTAGAAGGGACCACATTTTATCCAAAAAAACCCCAAAACTGGCAATTTCATAGAAGAAAGACATGGAATAGCATTGCCCTTTGTAGGAGTTGTGATTATGCACGTGGCCACGAGGAGCTAATGCCTGGCTGGCTGAGTTAATTATGCACTGGCTTGCTGCACACAGGTCATGTTTGACTAGCTTATGAAAGGCAGCCTTGGCTGAGCTTGCTCTAACGCCGTGTGCAAAGATTAGCAGTGCCGAATGCCGCTCGCTCGGTAAGCACAAGGGATGGCAATTGGTGGGAAGCATTTAAACTGGCAGGAAGAGCAGGTAGCCGAGCGCAGCGAGCAGTGTACACAAGGATCACAGGTTACGCCTGGGATTTCGTGATGAATGCCTAATGAGCACATTGATTAGGCGGGCAGAACTCTTCAAGCCGTTGTAAATGTAGCTGAAAGAAGCGTGGCCGATAAGACACCAAATAACCGTTCTCGTAAAGCTTCCCTTTGGCGTTGCAATATTTAAAGCCCAGGAAGATAATGGAGAGAAAACTGGACAATAAAATGAAAAGGGAACTGTCCTGCTTAGCAACTTTAAACAACAAAAACATAACCCTGGTGTCTATTCGTAAGCGGCAGGCAGCTCATGATGTGCCTGAACTACTGATTATTGGTGAAAAGTCCAAGACAGGATCTCCAGTAAAAGCAAGCAGTAACTTGCAGAAAGAAGAAAAACTTTTGCAGAGTTATTCCATGGGAATGCCAGAAGTCAATACAGTTGAAAGACAGGTCAGTGAGCTGGTGTGTGTGTGTTGGGAGGGAAGAGGTGTTTCTGAACCGGAGAATGTAAAAGAAAGCATGTTGGACGCGAGTTGTGTATTAAAGGAGGTTAAACCTTCTTTATCTAAATTGTCTCAATCCCCAGCATGGATGCTTGCCCCATAACAAGCAGTACTCACATGCAAAGTCCTCTGGAGATCCTCTGAAAGTAATCCTTGAAAGCAGATATTAATGATGAGTTATGCTGTAGTAACTAATGAGTATTTTTTCAGCTCCACCTCTAATAATATAGAGTCGTGATTCTTAGTAAGGAAACATATTAGTATTTCTCCTTTTAAACTGCAATTGCTTGAGTAGTTTGACAGCAGCTCTTACCAGATATTCTGTGGAATGATAGAAATTGCAGAAACATTAAAAGGTCCTAATTGTAGGTAAGTAGTTTATTTATAACTACTAAGTGGATGCTAGTGAAAGTTCTTGATAATACATCTCTGGCAACATTTATTTTTTTTATTCAGTGTTGTATATAACTATGGTATTTTTGGAGATAAACTGTTGTGAAGAAGAGGCATAGAAAGATCAATGCTGATAAAAACATGATGAGGTTTGTTCTTTTAGAAAGAGGTTTTGCTATTTAAAAGGTATGTAAATTACAGTAATGTAGTTCGGATCAGTGAATATTTTGAATATTTAAGGAAAAAAACCTCTCAGAACAAATTTTGTGTCCTTTGAAACCGTGTATGCTTAGAATGGCTTAAGTAATTAGTGTCAGACTGGAATGAAGTAACAGTCAGGACAGACCAAATATACCTGAAGGGTTTTTCTGCCTTGAGTTACTTCTCACATTGTAAATGTTTGCTAGAGAACAATCATGACATAAATGACTTTGATCTACCAAAGAATCTCTTTGCTGTATTCATTTCACTAGGATATATGCGTTGCTTGTACTGGAGCCATGAAGAACATCACAAAGTGTTTTTCTTTAATTCTAAATTTGAAACATTCCATTTACAACAAGGCTTTCCTCTTTCCCACTAAACCAAGCATGTTTTACATAGCTCCCTTTAATTTAAGAGTATCTGTTAAGGTCTCTAAGGTTTGTTAACTATGGTGTACCTAGCTATCTTTTCAGTAAGACTAACTGCAACTGCCTGAATCTTTCCCCATCATCTGTACTGTTGGTTAAACCTGTTCCCAGATGGAGAATGGCAGTCCCTTGGCAGATGCATTAGGGCAACTAACTTAGTATTTTGGAAACAAAAGCACCATAAAGGGTACTTTAAAGTAATACTTTCATTGAGTCTTGATATCCAGGTGGAGAGGGTGTTTTTTCCTTCATTCAGGAATGAATGAACTCAGGACTCAGGAACTCTTTGAAAAATAATGAGTTGTGTTACAAGTGGTTACTGAAAATAGTAGCTACTGACATTTGCTAATCTTCGCTAAGCTTTTTGGGGAAAGGGAAGGAAGGACAACCACTTAAGTTGTAATACATTTAAACAATACATGTTAACAAGATGGATGGACAAGTTGCACCGAAATTTATTAAGGAGGATGAGTGTTGCACTTCTGCCCACTCTGAAGTGCTGCTTTTATAGGCCCAAAATTGAACACTCGGGACCTTTGATGTTCCTGAGGCTGCTCTGTCCTTCTTTTGTTGTTCGCTGGCTGCCTATAACAAACTGGGAAAGCATCTGAAGTATTTAATTAATAGTATGTGGCTTTTCAGTTGTGTGTTACTGCCTGCCTGAATCCAAAGCCGTGAATCAGCGGGTTGTGAAAGAACGAAGCAGGAAAGGTAAAACAGCAACACAGATAAGATAATTCTTTGGCAGTTGTGCTCAGAGGTGAGAGGGCGATAACTGGTTTCAGCCTGCGGAGGTACGGAGAGAAGAGCAGCCCAAAACCTTTGGAGACACCAGGTGAGAGGTTCAGTGAGGTCTGGCGTTTGTGGATGAGCAGACAGGGAGAGGCAGAGGGGAAGGTGCTGAATGGGCTGGGCCCTGTCTCCTCGCCAGCTGACTGCCTGGCATCGAGGTGAGGAGTCCTGTGCTTGAATTCCAGGATGTGAAAATTGGCATCCCTGCAGGCCAGGAGAAGGAGGGTGGGAGGGCAGTGCCAGCCCTGGGGCGAGAGCCTTGCTGGAGCACCAAAGAGGAGCAGCAGCCGTGGGGGATCTTAGTGTGGGTGATGCTCAGGGAGGTGTGGGGCGCAGCGGGCACGGCCTCAGCCTTGTGCTGCAGGGGCTGAGAGCTTTACACTAGTGTTTCAGAGGTGGCTGCACCTCTTTGAAAAGGGGAAGTGGGGGAGAGAGGGATGGCTTTCCCGGAGACAAGCCACCCCATAGGGTGACCGGGGATCACAGGGGTGGAGGAAGCATGAGGACGCAGCCAAGGGCGGCTAGCAGCTGGGGCGCAGAGCTGAGGAGGGCACAAACCTTGTTGAATTTACAGCTATGGGGCTGCATCTGTTGTCAGCATGCCAGTCACCATATGCATGTACAGGAGGGTCTCACCCAGTGCTGTGGTTTCTTGTTCTTTGGGTTGTTTTATCCCAGTTCAGTTGACTTTCTTACATTTACTCTGTATCACCTCACTGCTGTGTTAAACCCTCAACCTTTGCACTTCTGAACGGGAGTACCTAAAAGAAATAGCCCATTTTAGTGGGCAGTGGGTCAGCCTGATGCCAGGCCACTGAGGGCAGCCCTTGATGGACTGGTTTTGCCCCACCAGTCACACAGGCCATGGACAATAACCACTTTTCCCCCAGGACCAGCCACTGACCTCTGGATGCCATAACGCCAAGAGCTGCGCGCCAAGCCAGGGCATGAGACTTGGTGCTCCCAATCCAGCAGTGTCTCCCTGCCCTGCTCCACCTCCGTGCTTTCCCAAAAAGTTTTCCAGCCCCAGGGCTTATTCCTGTTGGATGATCTCCTTCCTGCTGGGAGGCAGTCAGGATGGGGAGGAGGAGCCTTTGCCTCTTCCTGCTGCCCCCAAGCCATGCTTTGCCCCAGGGCAAGTATGAGTGCTCCCACTCCTGTCTGGGGCAGCAAGGGTTCCTCTCCATGCCAGGGGGTTTGCTCTGAAATTCTTATATTGAGAGCTGGACTTCAGATGCCTCACTCATGCACATCAACAGTTTCACTTGCGACTCGACTTGGATCTGGTTTAGAGCCATCAGGTGGGAACGTTTTCCATTCAGCTCTGGTGCTTTCTTTAAAGCTCTCTCCAGCTACTGCTGCTTCTGCGTCAATGAGTCCCTTTTTAATTTTCTTCTTTTTTTTTTTCTATATTGTTTAAATGAGCTTCATAACACTGCTTTCTGTAGGGTTTCTTCACTTTCAGACTAGAGCCTCGCTCTGCTGTGCATTTTGAGTGGAAAATTTTATGTGCAGAATGGTGGAGGGAAAGAATTGTCATAATTTCATGTTTTCATTATTTACATATTTTTTACATAGTCACTGTAAAAATATGCGTGAGACTGGTAGAGCAAATAGACTAACAGACTTGGTGTACACCTGCCCTTAAGAGTAAGTAGGACTCCTTTGGTGTGAGAGACAAAACAGTTGGTAATTGCGACTGGTTTTTCACACTCCCACGTGGATGTGGAGTCAGATGCATTTTCATTATTTCGTTAGGATTCCTCTCTAGGCAGAAGCAAGGAGGAGAATCCCAGGCACCTTTATTGGCATTTTTGGAGGTGATTGCGTCTCTGATGCTCTTGCAGATGGTCTCTCTGAATTACTATACAGGCTCATAGATGCCATTTTATGTCTGGGTGTTAGCTGGTAACAGGAAACCCTCTTTTGAGACCTAGCGTGTGCCTGAGGATGTGCACATTTCTGTATGCCTTGTCTTTGTGTCCTTATGTGAACCTGCTTTTTTCTTCTGATCTAGTGTAGACACACCCCTTCTCGCAAATACACACATAGATGTATTTGTACCCCTTCTTTTTTTTTTTTTTTCCTAAGCTGTTAAACAATACTAAAGGCTTTGTAAATACTGTATTTGAACCTGTGCACTTTTTTGGGGGGGGGAGGTTCTTCAATGATTTGTCATGTCGGGGGAGGGAGGTGTTAGTTGTTTTGTTGTTTTTTTTTAAAGGGAAATAAACCTTTTTTATATATATATCCATGTCCCTTCTCTGATTTTTTCCTTCTCACTGAAAAATTTGTTTGCAAGGATTTTTCTCCTACAGGCATAAACATCTGGTTTTGCCAAGTAATAAACAAAATATTTTTGCCAATTCTTCTGAATGTCGGGATAGCTTTTTATCCAAAATATAAAGTGGCGGCCAAGTTTTGATGTTTCTGTGGCTTACAATGCATTGAAATAGTACAATCAGTCCTTGCTTTTATGTTTTTCAAAAGACCGGAGGATGAGAAATACCCTTTAATCTTTTTATAGGTTTAATTTTAATTGCTTTTATATCACTGGGTACCTAGGAAAACTGAGAGGGTTGGTGAGTGTGGGGGTGGAGGGAATGCAGTGGAGGACATAAGGCCTGTGATAGTTCCTGGTTTTCATCTGCAAGTGGCTGCCAGAAAGGTGGTGAAGGGGGGCAGGAGAGCAGAGGATGTTCCTCTCTCCCGTCTCTCACGCTCTGTTTCACCAAAGGATGTGGAAGGCAAATGCCTTTGTCATACGAGCCAAAGTAAATGTACTGGGTGAGCTCCTGTAACTCGCACCTGGACTTTCACTTTACCGGGTGTTTGTGAAAATAAGAGCTGGCCACCGTGAGCAAAGTGTCCTTGGGGGGCTGGGGACAGGATAGGGAAGAGGAGATGAGGGACAATATTCAAATAACATTTCTTGAGGTATACATTATAATAAATGCAAGTTTGAGTTTAAGCAGCATTTGAAATGCGGTGGATGAGAGACTGTTTTCATTTTCACATGGGCTTCTTTTCCATATACAAGGCCATATTATTATTTCAAACCATGGGAAGTCACAAATAGGAGGAAATAAGCATGTGGTCGTTCTTGTGTGCACTTAAACAGGGAACCACCTTCGCAGGGAGGTCCAAATAACCGTTTATGTTTTCTTTTGAAAGGAGGGGCTGGCTATGCATTTCCATTTCCGTGTATGTTGGGGATTTCAGTAACTTCTGGGAAGGGAAGTGCAAGGACAAGGCTACATGCCCCAGGTGCTGCCAGGCCTGGCGGGGGCGGGGGACGGGGGGGAGTAAAATGGGATGTCAAGGCTAAAATATTCTCCTGACTCTTCTTCCCCAGCATCCCTCGTGCACAGCCTTGAGGCCAAGCGGAGGGGGAGGAGGCACCGGGGGGAGACCTTATGGTCGGGATAGTGAGGGGCTGCACCGTAATGCTGAAGAGTTGAAGTTGCTCATTCCTCCTCCTGTTCTAATAAATACAGTATGGAGAAGGCTGAAAGCAAATTTCTCATGTTAAATTTTTGCCGGTTTGGCCATCAACCCAGACCTCATTATTCCCAAGCTGTCTAAGCGTGAAACAAAATCAAGTTAATGAATTTTGAATACTGCATCAAATGAACTGGATGCAGTCTAGTGTTAATAAGCAGCCTAAATGCTTCTCATCTGCGCTGTGGTACTGAGGAGGGAGTTTTCTTGTGGGTGGTAGGAAAAAGATTTGTGCTACTGAGCCTGATCCAGTGGCCCCTTCCCAGGGGCTCCTCCCTGCAGTAATACCCAGTGTCAGGTGCTTTATTGAATGTTGGAAAGCCCTTGTCTTCGCAGGTGACAGAATAGATGTGTCGTAGTAGGTTGTATCTAGATCTTTAGTAGTTAAAACTGCCTTAAGTCACAGACACGAATTTTGATGTTTTTTCCATGAAATCTGACAATCTGGGACTTGTCCCTCCCCTTCTCAGTCTTCCTCATCACTTATCGCCAGCAATTTCCTTTGACAACAGAGGCTGTGCTCTGATTACCTGTTCTGCGAGAAGCATTGCCTTTATCACTTTTTTTTTTTTTAATATTTCATTTTTAATTGAATTGAATGCATTAAACTGTAGAGTCCCAGTACTACGGAGCCCGTGATATGACTGAGACATAATCCGCTTCTGGCCGGTCTACTTCAATAGTGGCCGTTGCATCCTGAAAATCGATGTTGGTTAAGCCAGTGAGTTCTTGTAGCTCGATACATGGTCTTTCTTAGGTGCCTCACAAGGAGGTAGACGAAGCTAAACCATAGTGGAAGTGTCTGCATATAGTTTTGTGTCTTTCAAAATCTTTGTCAGATATAGATTTTAACTTAAAAGATCTGCCTGTATGCAGACAGCCCAGGCCTTTGCGTGCATGCATATAGCTCTTCAATTGTCATGTAACTGGTCCTCCCTGTGCCAGCTTGTTTCAGGCTCCTAGGAAATTCTTGATTCTGTTTTCTGTGGGCATTTTGTTTTGGTTTGTATTGTTTTGCTTTGATTTGAACTCCTGCTGAGCAGTAGCAGGCTGGCCGAAGTGACGCAGCTTCTGACGTTTGTGGAGGGGCATTCAGCACATTCTGCTGTGACCCTTTGTGCCAGTGTCAGTGTGCTCTGAAGAGCAGGGCTTGGGCTCCATGGTGAAAGTGTCCCATGGCTGCAGAGAGCTCAAGCTTTAAATGATTGGATTAGGGTGGGAATATAGGGACAATTTTGCTTTTATATCCCTAGTGAATATTTTTTAAATTGCTGCTCAAGAGTAGTGTCAGAGGCTTGATTCAACATCCTGGGCATAGCTCACTGGTAATATAGTCAAACTGTAAGTGAACATTGTGAAGCATTTTGGCAGTATAGACTGACTTGAGAGCACTTTTAGTACATGCTTGAGAGCACATGCAGAATATTGCTACTTTATAGGTCTAAAGGTACATGAAATTTATTTTCATTTTTGCTCTTGCTCCTTAGGCTTTGTCCAACACTGATTCTCCTGACTGTGAACTGCAGCCTACAATGAAACATCATTTTGCTTTTGACAACATGGGCTATGAGGAGAGCTTTGAAACTGTGGCCTCTCCATCTTCCCAAGAACACACTTTAGCAGTCAACATTGTGGGAATGACTTGCCAATCGTGTGTGCAGTCGATAGAAGGCCGAATTTCCAAGGTGAAGGGCATTGTGAGTATTAAAGTCTCCCTTGAACAGAACAACGCTGTAATAAAGTATCTGCAGTCGGAAATAAGTCCTGAACAGATTTGCCAGGAAATTCAGGATATGGGCTTTGACACCAACATTTCAGAAGAGAGGTTGACAACAGCAACTGTAAATTTGTCATGCTTGAGAGAAGCAGTAGTTAAGCTTCGGGTAGAAGGCATGACATGCCAGTCTTGTGTCACCAACATTGAAGGAAAGATTAGGAAACTGCATGGTGTGGCAAAAATAAAGGTGTCACTTGGTAACCAGGAAGCAATTATTGCTTACTATCCTTACATCATCCAGCCTGATGACCTCAAGAGCCATATCAGTAACCTGGGGTATGAATGCACCATTAAAAGTAAATCAGCCCCTTTGAAGCTGGGCATCCTCGATCTTGAGCGCTTGCAGAATGCAAACCCCAAGGAGACACCAGCAAGTCTTGAGAGTGATGGGGTGGATTCGCTGGTCATTGAGATGAGTAGCACAGCTACAGTGGCTGTACGGATAGAAGGCATGCACTGCAAGTCCTGTGTCAGAAACATTGAAGGAAATATATCAGATCTTCCTGGCATACAAAGTATTAAAGTGTCTTTGGAGCATAAACGTGCTGTGATACAGTATAGCCCAAATTTAATTACCCTGTCAGCTTTGCAGGAAGCTATTGAATCCCTTCCACCTGGAAACTTTAAAGTATGCCTCCTTAACGGTTCAGAAGCAAATAAAGGAGCATCTCCATCGCCTGCTTCGTTATGCGATCTCTTCAGAGAGCCACTGCAAGACACGACAAGCACGGCTGTTTTTAGGATTGATGGCATGACCTGCAATTCTTGTGTCAAGTCCATAGAAGGGACCATATCACAGAGACAAGGAGTGCAACATATAGCAGTTTCTCTAGCTGGCAGAACTGGGACCATACATTATGATCCAGCTGTTACTAATGGAGAAGAGTTAAGAGCTGCCATAGAAGACATGGGGTTTGATGCTTCTGTGCTGACAGGTAACTGTTTTATCTTCCGTGGGTAGCGTGCCAAGCTGGGCCATGCGACACCTGCATTGAGGCTCTCTTCTGGAGAGAAACTCTTAAACATCACATTGGCATTGTCTTTTCTAAGTGACCAGCCTGATCTAGGATCTTTGCTAACCTCACTTAGCAAAGGAGAGAGATTTCAGCTGTGAACAGCCCTTAATAACCACAAGAGTGGGTGGAAGACTTGAGTTACATTATGAAGCCAAAAGGTTTGGAACTTGGTACAAGGTCTTTCAAATAGCTGATCCCCTTACCCATTGAAGTAGGTTTCCTCCTATGTCTACAGGCTGCTGTAAGTAGCAAATCAAATGTTTTAATTTATGTTCCAAAATACTAAAACCCACAAACTTAATGAAATCTCTTTCATTTTAAACCACTTTTTACCAAGTTAAAGTCTCTTTTTGGTGTCCTAATCCTTTGACCTTTATTTCTTGAGTATTTTTACTATCCCTGCTTTACTAAGCCTTACTTTAAGCGAGGTAAGTGGCAGGGTGCAGGTACTCTTTGGTGGGAGCGAGTGCTTTTACATGTCAGCTGCAGCACAGTTGGTACATTTTGTACACGTGCTCAATGATTAAGAAGTTGCTATGGTGCACAATCTCCTCTCTAGCAAATAGCAAATACGGCAATATTTGTCAGCTTCAACTCAACAGATTTGCTTTGGGATACTGATGTAGTTTACCTGGACTGAATTAGTTTGATCGCAACAGACCACATCTTATTAGCTTTTCTCATGAGTCCAATCCCTCTGAGTCTGTGGAACTGCTGCAGAGGAGGAGGAGGAGACTGTATGTGGTGTTTAATTATGATTTATTTTGTTTATAATTTGTTTGTGGGAGACCTTCTGATCCATTTGTAGAAAAGGAGGGGAGCTCCTGTGTTTAGCGTGTTCAGAAGCAGTTTTTACTCCTTTATACAAACCTCTGCCCAAGGGAGGCATCTTGTGAACGCAGCTGGAGCTGTTGGGTGTCTGTTCAGTATCTCGTAAAGAACAAAAATGATTGCGATAGGCCTGTGTGTGTGGAGGTCTTCTGGATGCTGCAAATCCTTCCACTACTCATTTTGCCATACTTGCAGTGTAAATATTGTGCCATAAAGAGAAACCTGTTGAGCAACTTGTCCTTTTCCTTGTTTGAGATGAAGTGCTGAGTCCTGCATAGATGACAAGGACAGAATGGATATGACTGGACCGTGTTCTCTGTGCTGGATAAGTACCCTCTAGATACCACTGTATCTTTATTGAGTGGAGGTAGCTGTCAGGTCTAGGCATTGAAATTGGAGGGAATCATTTGCCATCTGAAAGTGGAAAATCAGTTCCATAGAGTTAAATGGTTATGCAAGTGGTACTGGTGAGTTTATATTGTTATACACTTAGTAACAATCTATATTATTTCCATGAAGAGATCAAGATTACCATGTCACCTTTCAAACAACTAAAAGATTTTTCATGATTGATAAATGTGACCTGCTTTTATTTTTACATCATCTGATTGCACTGTAAATAGTGTTTGTTCAGTTTGTTGTGCTTTTATTCAAGATACCGCTGCTGGAGGACGTAGGCACCAACCTGATGCAAGTAATGCTGCTGTGCAGCCTCGAGCTCCAGAGCCTCCTCCCCAAGGCTGTGCCTCAGATGCTCTTCCAGACAGTCCTCACCTTGATGAGCCAAATCAGCCCAGCGGAGCACCAGCTGAAAAGTGTTTTTTACAAATTACAGGCATGACCTGTGCGTCGTGTGTGTCTACCATTGAAAGAAATTTGCAGAAAGAAGACGGTAATAAATTTCAGATTCCTATAATGAGTCTATAAGGGACTATGGGATGGAAAAGGTATTCTATGCGGTTGATGTAAGAGGCTGTGGTACGGCATCTGGAGGTTAAATAGTCAGTGCTCTTTCTTAGTGCTAATGTAACTGCATCACTGTTTAACTATCCTACTGCACTGGTGGACAAACCAAATGGACTACTTGTATTGTAACATTAAGTTGTTGTAATGTGATCAAAATTTTGAATAAGGCTCAAGACAAGAAAAGGGAAATGGTTCTCATTTAGTTTTCAGGGCCTTATTGCTTTACAGATCAATCCATCTCTTCCAGAGCTGTTGAGAGCTCTGACATGTTTGCGATGTGAAACTTACCCTTCAGGGCACATTTGCAGGTGCAAATGCATGGCTCCAGTGCCTGGGTAATTATATTAGCTTAGGCACAGCAAAGCTTATTAGGTTAGAAGTCTGCAGACTGGAGCTGCCTTTCCTCTGGCCATACAGAAGATGAACATATGAGCCTTAGCAATGTCTGATTTAATTTGGGTAGGTATCCCTTTGGAGGGTTTTGCTGATTGATTCCTGCGCCCCCAAGTCTCCCAGTGATGGTCTTACTGCCTTTATTTAAAAATGCAGGAAACCATTAGCACTTTAGAATAATTTTTTTTGCCTGTGATTTTTATGTTTTGCTTTTCAATTCTAAATGTAGATTTCTGGGGGTTTATTTTTTTTTTTAAAGAAGAAAAAAAAAACAAGGGAAAACCAAGAAAACAAAAAGGCATAGCATTGTGCTGTGGCGTTTGTTTAGGGCTTTCCAAACTCAGAGAGTCCAGGGTAGAGCTTGCAGCAATGAGTGCAACGATTGCTTCTGAACATCCTTTTTGTCTCATTAGATCATAGCAAAACTCACCTCCTTCCCTGTGTAACGCATGCAGTTACTCTCATTGCTAAAGGGAACCACAGCGTTGCTGGATCTCAGTAAAAACTATGCTGTTGTGACTAGGGAACAACACTAGAAGGAGGCAGAGGGAAATCATTACGTTTATAACATCTCTAAGTTGTTACAGCCCTCATTGACAAACACTTGTAATATTTTATTTTTCTTCCCACCAAAGGAGCTACATCATCTAATATTTTTTATTATTGCCACTGCAGGAATTGTTTCAGTGTTGGTAGCACTGATGGCAGGTAAAGCAGAGATAAAATACAAACCAGAATTCATACAGCCTCTTGAAATAGCACAGCTGATCCAGAATTTGGGTTTTGAAGCTACTGTCATAGAAGATCATGCAGAAACAGAAGGAAATGTGGAGCTTCTTGTAAGTCACGTGTATTTGAAATGATATGTTGGTTTTGGAAAAGTCAGGTCTGGAAGATTCATTTTCATGGAAATGCTTTTGTTTAAGGAGTTGTGGCTTCAGTGGGTCATTTCTGGCTGGTGATACTATTTTGTCTTAATTGCTGAAAAGACAAAATGAATTTGTCTTAGAAGCTGTCCAAAGGCACTTAAATAAAAAGTGATAGTTGTATATACAGAATAGACTTTTCTTAGCAAGAAGAAATGAAATGGAACTTTTCTGTAAAGGCACTTCGGTCAACAGTACAGGCTGAGCAACTGAGAATGTATCACCAAATATGTGTTAGTAATGCCTGACGCTTTGTATAGAGGTCTGACAACTTTGGGTAAAATCAGTAAATTGTTTATATGAAGGACAGATTCTTCAACAGTCTATTTTTATTCTCTGACATATACCTACTAAAAGACAGATAACAACAGTCTGCAATTGTGCTAATAGATCAGAAAGTGGGAACATGCCTTATTGAAGCCACAGGAAAATTTAAGTAAGCGAGATGAAGTTACACATGCAGAGTTTGACTTTGGCAATGTTACTATAGCTGCTGATAGAACTATATTTGCAATACTACTACAGTTAATAACAATGTATGAATGCTGCTATACAAATACATAGCTGTGACTATAACTGCGGGTTGCAGAATTTTATAATAAAAGCAGATAGTGCTGTTCTCAGCTTTGTTTTTTTTAGACAGCTCTATAAAATCTTCATGCTGAGGCCTTGTGTCAGTACCAGCAGAGCTTGAATAGTTGTTAGTACCTTTTTGACATGGGGAGGCCTTGTCTCAAATTCACCCAAAAATATTAGGTGAATGTGGAGGACTGCTAACTGTACCTAAATTTGTTTTTTCTTCAGATTACAGGGATGACTTGTGCTTCCTGTGTTCACAGTATTGAATCCAAACTCATGAGAACAAATGGCATATTCTACGCCTCAGTTGCACTTGCTACTTGCAAAGCTCACATCCAGTTTGATCCTGAAATTACTGGACCTCGAGATATTATAAAAATAATTGAGGTAAGCTTTAATCTTTTTTTTTTTTTTAAAATGAATAATTATAACATGAAGTTAAAAAGGAAATAAAGCAGCTGATATTTGAGAGGTTTCACTGGCTTTTGCAGATGACAGGGTAATTGCCATATGTTTTTATGCTGTTGCGGTGAAGCTGCTGTGCTGCACTGTGGTCTATAGTGTCCCAGGTTGTTACTTTAAAAGCACATCCTAAAAACTACAAAAGAAGCCTTTTTTTCTCTATATCTGGTGGAAGTGTCGTATAGTCATTCTTTGCAGTTCTGTGTGTAGAATCATGTGTCTCTGATTTCCAGTCATTTCAGTGAAGTGTTGATACTTCAGAAGAAAATACTACTTTCTCTTGCCAGTGAACGAAGCTGTAAAAGAAGTTTTACAACAGCTTATACCACAAGTATTACATGTCTCTGTATACGCTGGCATCTATTCCCACGTCAATTCAGAGAACTTTTTAAACCGAACAAGCTTGTGATACAGCCACTGAAGGAAAAAAAATCCAGGCTTACCAGTAACCACACAGATCATAAAATCTGCCATTATCATGGTCCAAGTGTGGATAAAACTTTTTCTTTCTCTGCCCCACCAGAAGTGAAGAGAACTTACTGTATGAGGTGCACACAGTGAGTATTCAGGAGGACAGCAGAGACTGTTTGCCTTTCGTCTTCTAACGTATTTACTCAGAAAAAAGATTCTAGACTGCAGAATTGGTGCGGCAGCCCTGATTAACATGTCAACTAGTAGACTTTTCAGGCTGGCAGAGCAGTTCTGTAAAGTGCACCTTGCCACAGGAGCATCTCATTATGCAGATATAAAGTTTAAATGTATTGTACTTGCAAGTGTTCTTTGGGGGTTTTTGTGTTGTGTTTTGTTTTGTTTTGTTTTTGTGGGAGAGGTAGTTTGACTTCAGTAACTCACTGAAGCGTCAGTCAAAACTGGCTTTTTGCATATATTTGTTTCTGTGATCCTTTGCCTTGCAGTTTGTTGTTTTACAGGTTTAAACTGATTCTAGCGACTTTGATTTTCAACTTCAGGTATATCTATTCAACTGTAGTGTTAAGGAGATGCTTGCAAGGCTGACTAGCCCAGTGGCTTGTACATTTTTACCTTCCTTTGTGGTATTTCCCGTCTCTCATACTTATTCCAGTGAAAATGAAAGGGCATAAATTTCCCTTGAGGAGGACTGCAGCAGAACTCCAGCTGTGAGTGGGAGCTTCCTGTGCCTAAGAAACCTGGGACACTTACAGCATCTATACACTGTGTCCATATGTAGGCAGCAGAAATCCTTTGCAGTCCACATTTTGAGTGCTGTCTGAAGTATCCTCTCATGTTGACAGCATCTAAAAATATATAAGAAGTTGGCATTTATTGAATATAGAACAGTGTCCTTTTCTGACATTTCTTCTAAAAGTAGTGTCATTTGAATATGTTATAAGTAATACAATTGGTTTAATCGAAACTAACTCTTTTTTGCTTCCCTTTCATAAAAAGGAAATTGGCTTTCATGCTTCTGTGGCTAGAAGAATTCCAAATGCACATAACCTGGATCATAAAAAGGAAATACGGCAGTAAGTATTTCTATTTCTCTGTCACTAACAAACGTGTATAGATCATCTCTTGTAACTCATCCCCCCCCGGCCCCAGTTAATTTACCTTATCCTTGTGTAAAGCATATTTAATTTTTACAACTTGCCATTTAGTTCAAATACTTTTATTCCTTTCATTAGTTCCAGTTCTTAACTGATAGAAGTCTATAGAAATCTATAAAGTTAAACATGTAGGAGACACTGACACTGCCCCAATATTCCAAAGCTGTGTGTCAGTACAGTACTAATACCCCAAGCTCTGCACTGCAAGCACACTGTTTGGCCTGGGTATTGCAGGGTGTATGACAACCAGGGATTTACAGCTTCTACTTTTCAGGTGGAGGAAGTCTTTCTTGTGCAGCCTACTGTTTGGTATCCCTGTCTTGATCTTAATGATTTATATGCTAATACCCGGCGGTGAGCACCATGGGTCTATGGTGCTGGAACAGAATCTCATTCCTGGATTATCTATTTTAAATCTTCTCTTCTTTGTCCTCTGCACTTTTGTTCAGGTATGTCCACAGTACTTCCTAGGAGTTTGCTTTATATTCACCTCCCATTTATGCAACCTGATGTGATAAAGACAGGAAACTGGAAAGGTTTAGAGGATTAGCACTGCCCTCTTGTCTGTACCACCTATGCAGAATGAAGTGGCACTTTTCAGCAAGTTGTCCATTCTGTAATTGCTCACAGCACTTACTCTTGCCAAAGTTGTGTCAAAGTTCCCCTTTCCAAGTGGGGAAGCTAGTAGTAAAATGAAGAAATACCTGATCAGGTGCCAACTAATTGGATAGCTATAGGTAAATCCCTTCAACTTTTGTGTCTTATATACTTTGCATTGCGGAGGAAAAGGATGATATTTAGCTGGCAGAATTGTTTTGAGAACAAGAAAGGGCAAGGGAGAGGATGGCAGTGGAGTCAGCCTCCCAGTGGACCACTCCACTGAAGTTCTATCAATATAAAATTTGCATGGGGCAGCAATGCTTTCCCTTATCTACTATGTGTTTATATTTCTGCTATAGGCAGTATTATGTACTGTGCTTTCGTTGCTGTGATCTTAATACAAGTCTGTCCATGCTTACACCAACAGTTTCTTGGTGGATGGTATTTTTATGTACAAGCTTACAAATCACTGAAGCACAAGACGGCCAATATGGATGTGCTCATCGTACTGGCCACGACGATTGCTTATGTGTATTCCTGTGTGATCCTGTTGGTAGCGATAATTGAAAAGGCAGAGAAAAGCCCTGTCACTTTCTTTGACACTCCTCCAATGCTGTTTGTGTTCATTGCCCTTGGGAGATGGCTGGAACACATAGCAAAGGTAACTCATTTTCACACTAATTATTGTGTATTTCTGATGAGAGGAGAATAAAACTGTTCAGAGGAATTTTGAGTCAGATGTTTCTGATGTAGCCTATATAATACAAGGTCATTTAGAGTTTATTGTAAGTAGACATCACCATTTATAGATATCAATATATTTTAAACATTTTTCTCTGTTTCTTAGAGTAAAACCTCAGAAGCTCTTGCTAAACTTATATCTCTTCAAGCCACAGAAGCCACTGTGGTGACTCTTGGACCTGACCACTCTATCGTCAGGTATGTATTTGTGAACCAAAACCCCTTCAGCCTGCCTGAGTGCACAGACTAGACTTGATGCAATTAATGTGAAACCATTACTATTCTTTTGAAGCTGATGGCGTAAATAATCTGTCTGTTCTACTTGTTGGGCTTTTTGCAGGGAGGAGCAGGTAGCTGTTGAACTGGTTCAAAGAGGTGATATTGTAAAGGTTGTTCCTGGTGGAAAGTTCCCAGTGGATGGAAAGGTCATTGAAGGCAGTTCTATGGCAGATGAGTCTCTCATTACTGGTAATTTCCCTTACACTTACACAAAGAAATTACATCTTCTAGAACATTATTTTACAAGAAAAGAGTAGACCCAACCCAAAAGCTGCTGTCTGAATAACCTCCCACCTTAATAGATGCTGTGCCTGGCCTTTGTGAGCTTGAATTCAAATTCCTCGTCTGCACACACCCTAAAAAGCTGAAGAATTTCCGCTCAGTTTGGTCACTTTTACTAACAGATGGGACGGGTAGAATCTAAATGCTATTGTCATTATTCCACAGATCTGGTGGGAGTTTCCCCTGAATGTATTTGTAGAGATGGTTCCTTCTCAGAAATAACTTCTAAAGGGCGATGGGGAAATAATGCTGAGATATTGGGTTGTGTAGGCATGGGCACTGAACAGGGCTTCTGACAGGGATCTGCCAGTGAGCAAGAAGGGGGAAAGAAAACCTTACAACTTGATACTCATTAAGGGTGATGGGACGTCTTCACAGCTTTTGAAATTTTCATTTCATTTTGTAAATATAATAAGGATTTATTGCATCATGTAATTCTTATAAACAAAGGATATAAAAACTTTACATGTTTTAGTTATTTATTTACTTTGCTTGGGGAACAGGAACACCCTTAGTTTGAGAGAACCAGTCATAATCACTAACCCTAAAAATAGATAAAATAAAGATTTTGTAGAGCTAGTATTCTTGAAGAGGCAGTGTGAGAACAGGATTGTCCTGGTTTGAGACTTTCCCACAGGGACAACTTTTCTAGTCTTTGAAAACCGAGGGTGGTGGAAATAAAGACAGATTGCTCAAGCTCCCATGGCTATGAAAATTGTTAATCAGAGAAATTCTTAGCAGTTCCTTTTACAACCAATTTGTTCCTGGCCCTTTTGAAGGATGGCGTACTGGAGGGTTAGGACCAAGGAAATAGCACTTGCTTTGAAACTAAACCTAGAAAAAGGTTTATAGAAGTATGACAGCACTTATACATGTCTTCACGAGACAGAGATATACAATATGTAATTTCTTGTTATTATTGCTTAGCATGCTGATTTTGCTGGCATATAATCAGCTGTGTGCTAACGAACTATGTTCACTACTATTAGGGGTATTGCCTCATTTATTCTTACCTTTTCTTTCTAGGGGAAGCTATGCCAGTCACTAAAAAGCCTGGGAGCACTGTGATTGCTGGTTCTATAAATGCACATGGCTCAGTTCTTGTTAGTGCAACTCATGTTGGTAATGATACCACTCTAGCACAAATCGTGAAATTGGTGGAAGAAGCTCAAATGTCAAAGGTAAAAATAATAGAAAAGGAAAACTTCTTCACAGATTTTGTTTATATGGGAAAAAGATTCTGTATTTTTATATATTTACTTGTTCAACAAACTGTGTTTTCCAGACTTCAAAGTAGAATCAGATGAAGAATATTAGATATTTTCATGAACTCTACATACTTACGTGTTTTGATCATAAACATACAAATAATTGTTTATCTTTTTTATAGGCACCCATCCAGCAACTGGCAGATAAGTTTAGTGGATATTTTGTTCCATTTATCATCATCATTTCAACACTGACATTGATAGCATGGATCACAATCGGTTTTATAAATTTTGATGTTATTCAGAAATATTTTCCTGTAAGTAATTTCATTAAGAGCTGGATTTTGGTGTTAGGATATCTTCCAGTGTAATTAAGATACCTTCTGTGTGGGGGGTTTGATGTTGCAACCTGGCAAATACTTTTGTACAATGTGGTGTTTTCTACACAGAGCAGAGTAATTACAGTAATTAAAATCTGTCTGCAGGTATAAGTATACTTTTGCGTTTAGCCCTTAGCTCTGCACGGGGTTCCTACAAACTGAAATTATTGGCAGTCTTTCTGAACTAAACATGATCTATAGCTGCACCGCAAGGAGCTAAGCCATTCCTATATTGCCTGTAATTTTTTTGGATGCCCTTGTTCCTGATGGCAGATAGTGGGTTTGGCTGTAGAAAGAAGATGAGCTTCTGTTATCTTTAGTATGTGTATTTGCTATGGTCAGTAACTGTGGGTATCCGTGTACCTGGAAACAGGGTTCTCTTTTACTAAGTTGTAAAGGAAATGCCAGCAAGTCATATTGTCATCTGGGAGCCTGAGAGCAGAGTCAGGCATATGTGTGCTTGAGCAGAAAAAAACCCAGAAAATACTGCCATAAACGATTCATAACATTGACCTTTGTCTGCCATTACAGTAACAATAATAGATTGCTTTCCTATACTGGAGGTTTCCAGGTAAATGTGTTTTTTGAAATGGCTATGATTGATTGTACATCTATATTATCTTCTATCAGCAATCATACATCTCTCTTTTTTTTTTCTCCCTCTTTTCCCTCTTCTTGCAGAATCAGAACAAACACGTTTCAAAAGCTGAACTAATACTGAGGTTTGCATTTCAAACCTCAATCACTGTGCTGAGCATTGCATGCCCCTGTTCTTTAGGCTTGGCTACCCCCACAGCTGTGATGGTGGGCACAGGAGTTGCTGCGCAGAATGGTATTCTCATCAAAGGTGGAAAACCCCTGGAAATGGCACACAAGGTTAATAGTTCATTCCGTACTTTTGTAGCTTACCCAGCTGTTGCTACATGAAATATAATTTCCCAGGAAATCCTGCTAGTCCAGAGAAAGACTGCAGAATGTTGGTTTGGTTTTGTTTTTTTTTTTTGTTTTCTATTGGTTGCTGCTCATTAAGGTAAAGAAGACAGATCTGACCTTCTTTCTTCAAAGTAGTGAGAGTAAAGTGTTCAGAGCCAACAGTGCCTGCAATCTTCTGCCAGTGAGGCTGCTAATCTTCTGCATGACCTCAGAGGTTTCTGACTTTTGCACTCCCTTTACCTATTCTGCAAAAGAGCACGATAATCCAGTGTTTTCCTTCTTTCCTCAGAGGGGTCTTGTGAAACGCATATTGTTCACGATCAGTAGTTTACAATGTAGGGTGTAAGAGAAAACCAGAATGAAATTCTTTTAGTGTATAGAAAAAAGATGGAAGGGAGGCAGGAAAAGCCCTTCAAAGACAGAAAACTGTTGAAAAGAGAAGAAGATTGAAGGAGGAGGAGGTTTGGTATGTCCCCAGCCAGTGAAAAGAATACGAGTTTAAAGCATGTTGTGGTAGACTGGATTAGATAGAGGCAGAACATTTTAAGTGAAAAGGATGGTAAGAATAAGTTAATCAGACTGATCATTCTTGTTCTTACTGTACATTATAAAGTACAGACCAGAAGTTTTTCCAAGGCTCTGCAAAAAAACCCCAACAACCCAAAATTACTGCTAAATATTCTCAGGACTTTTTACCTTTTGAATCTAAGTGAGGCTAGGGTCAGGGCTTGGAAAATTAGGTAACCTGTTGGATTCTGCAAGGTTGGCAAGTTGGAATAGCTGGGAATGGAAATAGTGTCTACTTTACTGAGGTTTCTGGTCCTTTATTGAGTTTTTTGGTTTGTCTGTGTCTCTGTGATGTGTTTATTTTCAGGATTGGAATTGGCTTTATCTTTGGGTTTCAGGGTATGCAGGGCTGTGGTTTTTTGTTCATTCCTGATTCCTCAAGACCTATTGGGCTGGCTAACAAGTGATTGCTGAATTTGGTGAATAGCATGAGTTTGAGTTTGGTTAGGTTGTTGTTTATGGAACTCATTGCAGCTTTTTGCACTCTTCCCACCTGCTCTTATCACCAAATAACTTCCTGAGTCCTCTTTCCTCAGTGCTGTTGTTAATTGTTTAGAACAGGATTTGTAAAAGTCCTCCTTGAATCATATACCTTGTGATAAAAGTCATTATCTGAATCCTGCATGTGGATACATACATGCACAAACAAAGGACAGTACAAGTCCTGCAATGACTCTGTTGTGTGAGATCCTGATGTAGATACAGGATGATGTTGCAGCTTCAGTGAAATCACTGTATGGGGAATGCATAAGAAAACTTAAGGAGACCTACTGTACAGATAGTTCAAGGTACATACAGGAATACCTACTTTTGTAGATTCATTCTGTCTTGGTGTGGATATAGTCAACTGATTATTAAGGTCTTGCGTGTATTTATGTGCCTAAAGCAGATGAGCATCCCTATGCTTGTGGGTTTAGGCCGTAAATCTGGTTTATTTCTTGCAGATCAAGACTGTGATGTTTGATAAAACTGGGACCATCACCTGTGGAGTTCCTAAAGTCATGAGGGTGCTTTTGCTGGGAGACACGGCTGTGCTCTCTCTGAAGAAGGTACTGGCGGTGGTTGGCACTGCAGAAGCCAGCAGCGAGCATCCTTTAGGAGTGGCAGTCACTAAATATTGCAAAGAGGTACTTAGCCTTCCTATTTCATCTAAGGCCTGAAGGAATGTGTGCAAATGCAGCAATGTTATATAAAATGAGCAAGTCCCAGAGGGTCAGGCCTCCCTGAAAAGTAACAGGCTGGAAAGCTGGCAGATTTTATGATTGTGCATCTTAGTCTGGACAATACCACGAGGGATATTCTTAGCTTTGCTTTTCTGGTAACGCTGTGGAGTTCTCAAGATCTTAAATTTTTTTTTCCTGAACTGGTGGGAAAATAAGGACTGTGGAATATGTGCAGGAGGAATACTTATGCTTAAAATAGACTTATGAAGCAAATGTGTGTGGTGACATTTCATATGTTACCTGACTGTAGTAATTTCTATTAGTCACTTGCTTATAGATTAGGCAAAAAGCTTTAAAACCTGAATATTTAACTGTGATATTTGTGAATTTCACAATTGAATTAATAGATTACTCAAGTCTTCGCAAATTTTGCAGATCCTCAAAGGTCACTTATATATTGCATGTGTTCCTCAAATGTTTCAGGAAGAATAAAAGCACAAATAGTAACTAAAATAGGAAACCTGATTTAAATAAATAAGTTCTTTCTGCTAAGACAAGTAATTAATTGATTTATGGAAAAATTCATTGGCAAGAATATATCAAACTTATTAGTGATAGATCTTTCAGAAGTAAAATTAGGAAGATAACAAATTTAGAAGGAAAAAGAGAGTTTGGGTAATGATTCGGTTGTCTCTCTCGTATTTTACATTTTCTGTTTTCAAATTTGTCTTAGTTCTCTGACACTTCCGTAGTCATCCTATGCACTACTTATTACTGGATCATGGCTTACATGAATTGCAATACTATACTGTTTGCTAATATTCTTACTACCCACCTTATCATCACTTTGTTGTAAGAAGGTCACTGAAAGTTACATGTAATTCCAACTCCCAGAGACAACCCAGAATAACATGTTTATAAATGCATATTTTCTCCATTCTTTTTGTAACTCATAGGTAATCCCTTTTCTCATCTTGAAGGTGCTCACTGGCTTCTCTCTCTAACTCAAGAGAAAGACCCAGTTTCTTTGTCATCTGGCCAGATCACTCCAGGAATTAGATACAGTTTTTCACTGTACTTTTACATATATATAAAAGGCCTGATTCCCCACAGCCAGTTGTCTGTGAGGTTAATTAGAAGTTGCATCTTTCCAGAAGCTGTATGGCTTATTGTTACAGGATTTCTTGTTAGTTCCTAGTCTTGGCTGAGTTCATGAACCACCAATGTAACTGCTTTGCCCTTGAACTACCAGGAAAAGCTGTCCTGTGTGGTTTGCTGCTGCCAGGGCTGAGACCTGGATCTGATCTGTATGGCTGCCCCTTTCTAGTCTAAACCACAGCACGTCCAGAACATCCTTATTTTTAGTCCTGTGCTACTGATACTCCATGCTGCTTTTCTTTCAGTCAGTCATTGTCAAGAGGAGGAATGAGGACTCTTTTTGGCAGGAATTATCTAATATTTGTACCCCACGTGGTCAGCACAGACTGATGATGAACTCTGGTTATGTCCGCAGGAGCTTGGCACTCAGAGCCTGGGATACTGCACTGACTTCCAGGCAGTCCCAGGCTGTGGCATCAGCTGCAAAGTTGGAGGTGTTGAGGCTGTCCTGGGCACGGCTGAGGAGGGTCTCGATAAGCTGGATCCAAACAGGAGCAGGGACAGCAATGCTCCTCTGGGAGATAATGAGCTGATCACACTCTCCAAATCACATGGTACGTCTGCCCCCTTGAAGTGACCACCAGTTGCAATGAGAGGACTAGTGTATCAACAGTGCCAACCACTGTAAGAAACAATCTTATTGGACTAGGAACAACAGAAAGATGGATTTACGGTAGAAGGAGACAAAGAAAACAAGGGACGAAAATGTACCTTAACAAAAATTGAAGCTGTTTCTTTCCCTTACTCTCAATCTCTCTGCAATTCAGAAACCTAAATAAGAATTTAGAGACTACAGTGACAGGTACTTGAAAAGCCCATATAATACATAGGTAATAAGGCATATACAGCAATGTCCCTTTTGGAGAGAAGAATGGTCCAGCAGAGAGCAAAGTTTGCCAATTAGCATTATCTTCCCATTTAGAGCAATTACGTTTAACATATGTTATCTTTCTGCTACTTTTTGCATCCTAGCCTTTAGGTCTATATTACCTTGGACCTTTTGTTTTCTGTTCATAGATCTCTCAAGGCATTTACTTTTAAAAAAAAATCTATTCAGCAGATGCACAATAAAGTGTGTTATATCTGCAAACGAAGTTTCAGTGCCTGATGTTTTTGATTAGGCTGATATGTTTGTTTTTGTTTCTGGCTCAGTGGAAACCACTTTGCTCTTTTGTAGTGTAGGAGAGAGAGAAAAAGTATTTAAAGCCTTCCTTAAGAAGCTCATCAGTTCTCTTCAGAAGACTGTGGCTCTTCTGACCTTTTTGAGAAAGCTATTAGAAAAATTAAATAAAATAAGAACTTTAATCATCAGAACTGTGCCATTTATGAATGGTGTTAATGTAATATTTTCTCACCTGCTTTGTACAGCTCCTGTGAAGTTGAATTGAATTCATAATGAGGTGCTCTACATACCGTTTCATTGTTTGTTAGAACAAAACTACTTTTTTCTTACCAGAAATAGCCTTTATATTTGAAAGAAGTCATTAGTTGTGAGAACAAAGCAGCATGGTATTTATGAAATGTGCACACTGCACTTATCCAGAAAAACAATGCCAACTGGAAAAGGCAAATACAGGCAAATACTTCCATTACGTTCATGACGCAGTTCTGTGTATAAACAGGCACAGATTGAGTCTTGAAGGTTAAATTTTGTGCGGCTATCTTCAGGTAGTGCCTATGCATTTGTGTTTGGCCATGACACCAGCACTTCAACAAGACTAATTCTGTTTGTGTCTTGGGTGTGACCATTGCCGGTCTGGAACACACACACAAAAAAATTAGGAAAACCTCTTCAGAATGTCTTTCTCTACCTAATGCAGCCTGACATTGTCATCCTCAAACATCTCTGGCTTGTGTTCACTATTTTTGAGTTGCTCATTTTTCTTTTTGTTTGTGCACAAAGGTCCATCAGCTTCTCATACATACTCAGTGTTGATCGGAAATCGTGAGTGGATGCGACGCAATGGCTTGCATATTGCAAATGATGTAAATGATGCAATGACAGACCATGAAACGAAAGGACAGACTGCCATACTCGTGGCTATAGATGGTAACTGCTGTTCTTTGGAGTGACTTAATACATATCAATTGATCCTACCATGGAATGGATAAAAACAAACTCTGGAGCAATTGATCAGTGGCTTACTGTCAATAAACCACTAATCTTAGTGCAGAACTGCAAAGTATCAAGGTGTTCTTAAAAGAAGATTTCCCCTCAGAACAGTCTTTATAAGATTTTGTTGGGTAGTTTTTAATTTAAATAATTATTTCTGAACCTCCTGTTGTGTAGGACTGTTGTTCAGAAGAGCAGTGCCAGTGCAGTGCCCTGTCCCATCCTGACTTTACATCACTTAAGGATCACAGGCCAACGTATTGCATCACATATTTCAAAACATTTCGTGAATAAACATGATGATTCATTAGATCATTCAAGTGTAATAGATTAGACTAAATGAGTTTTGCCAGAGGGGTTCTGTTCTGTGCTACACAGAAAAAGATCCCAGATAACACCTTTATATGAGAAACTGCAATAACAGTGATAGATTGTCAGGTCATCTGTGATCCTGAAATGGGGCCTCTGATTCAATTACTGAATAAATATTCTTGGTGCTCCTCCAGAGCAGTTTTGAGAGGCATTTGCATGTCTCAGCCTGGGCTCCATCAGCAGTCCAGGAAAATCAAGTACACTTAACATGGAAATAAGGGCTCTGATGTACCGCTGGCATTCCTATCACTGCTGGTGATAGCAAACAGAGACACAGGGGTGCAAAACCTACTTAAGTCCTTACTTTTGAAAGGTAGCATGCAATGATAAACCAGTGTGAGATTTTTGTAAGTCATGTGAAGGAAGTGTGGATGCACTTTTAAGTCAATATGTTGGAAGGCGGGTGCAACACTTTTGTATGAAAGTACTTAATTATAATAGAGATCCAACCTAGAAAGATTAGGGGAAATAAAACCAGATACTGTACATGCTTCCTCCTGGTGGAATGGCTTCAATATCTAACCTGGGCACAAATACCAAACCTTTCTTTGGCCCACTCTTGTATTTGTCCATACCATAAAACCTAGAAGTTGGGCATATTTAAAAGCTACCCTCCTCTTCTCCCCTTCCTCTTGGTCCCTAAACATCAAAGGTGTTTGTTGTTTGATCTGAAACAGATAAATAAGAAAAGTGTGTTTGTGTGTAAGAAAGAGACCATCACTTAGAAAATTGTAGATAGTTGTTCAGGCTTATGAGTGTCAGTATTGCCCAGAACATGTTATTTCACAAGCCACCATGGTGTGATGGAGGGGACGTCCCATTCTCTTGCTGCCACTTTGCCTACCACAGTTCTGTCTAACAGAGGATGTTTCTTTGTGCAGGTGTATTGTGCGGAATGATTGCAATAGCAGACACCGTCAAGCAGGAGGCAGCCCTTGCTGTGCACACGCTGAAAAACATGGGAATAGATGTGGTGCTGATAACGGGGGACAACAGAAAAACTGCAAAAGCCATTGCTACTCAGGTATTTGCTTCTTTGCATTTCAAAAAAAAAAAAACCAAAAAAAAAAACCATGATGAGGTTCTAAAACTCTGCTTAGCCCAGTGAATTTGGAGCAGGAACTCAAGTTCCCTGAATGCATTAAATGAAGACTAACTTTTCTTGAATTGGACTGAAAATCAGGTCACATACAATGGCACTGTAAAGGCCAGTGGCTGCATTAAGATCCCACTGAGGACAAGTAGTCAGTACTTCTCCAGAGGTACAGAGTTTCTTGCAGTAATTAGTCTGTTGCTAAAATGAAGCCTTCTGCTTCCTTTCACTGATGGGCTTGTGTTTGGTTAGTGATAACGAGAAGTTCCTTTAAGGTCCAGTCCTGTTCCCAATAATGGAAATGGGGATTTATGATTATCTTTACGGGAAATATAGTAATAAAAAGGAGAATTATTGTTAAGAAGCATGGCAGTCTAAAAGAGGTTGGGTTTATATGAGATTTCCGTGATCTCAAACTACAAGTGTTGCTCCAAAGGCAAAGCCAAATTCTCATTCTACTGTGCTACATTTCCACCCTCTCCATCTTCATTTCCCTCTTTCATTTTGCACTGGTCTACTTCTAATCTACTGTGTGCCACCTTGCTTTCCTAAGGTATCCCACCACACAGCTAACTCAGCCAGCAACATGGTATACATGTTCTTGTATGTTGTGACGTCTGGTTTGTTTCTCAGTGTGATGCTTTAATCCTTCCTTTGTTTTGAGTCATGCTTTCACTTTTCTGTCAAATTGTGGTAAAGCACTTTCCCACCCCACCTTTCTTTGTTAAGAGAAGCCTTTCAGAAACAAGCTTCAATTTATGGTTCCAGGCACTCAAGTGAAATTTTCAAACAAGCTTATTCTGTGCCAACCTGTATTTTCATTGAATTTTTGGCACTTACTTCCTTTCCCATGGAAAAATGGTAAGCCAGTCCTAAAAACTTTTAGAAATGTAACTTTTTGAAAGGCTAAAAGAGAGCTACTACCTTGTGTAGTGAAAAGCTGATCTCTGCCTGGTGAGGCAGCCAAACCAGGGATATGATCCCAGCCCTCTTTGGTACACCCACTTGTTTATCAGCTACCAGCACTAAAGCCATTGGTAGTAACTCCATATTAGTTGAGATGTGGATGGGTACAAGTGTTTAGCCAGCCATCTGCTTTATTTTCATAGTTCTTTTGAGACTTGCACATACTTGCATTTCTGTGTTTCCCCTGGGGTAACTGCCTGATCATATATTGTTCCTGTGTTGCATTTCACTGAAACCATTATTGGTGCATCAAGCAGCATGATTAGCTGAAAACTGGCTCTTTTAACCATCCGACCTTTATTGCCAGGGCAGTAGAGCTTCAGAAGCGCTGTCGGGTATGACACTAAGGGCAGAGTGTGGTTTGCCAGCCTCTTTGCAGTTACCAAAAGCATGTTGCTCTTCAGCTTTCTGTGTAGCTTGCAAGTGTTGCGTCCACCAGAATCAGTTTGGTTCATCTTCCTTTGTTTCCCCTTCACCCAGAACAGCAAATGGCTCTTCCTTTTAGCAGGAAGCGTATCATCAACTGGGTATGTTTCTTTCTTTGTACATAGGTTGGGATCAAAAAAGTCTTTGCCGAGGTTCTTCCGTCTCACAAGGTTGCAAAGGTCCAGGAACTCCAAAATGGGAGGAGGAAGGTTGCCATGGTTGGTGATGGAGTCAATGATTCCCCTGCACTAGCCAGGGCTGACGTTGGAATTGCAATTGGAACGGGCACCGATGTTGCCATTGAAGCAGCAGATGTTGTTCTTATCCGAGTGAGCACTACGGTTCTGACCTGTCCTCTTTTATCACTGACGCTCTTCTTTTTGGTTTGGTGTTCTGAAGACTGCTTGTGGAAAACTTTCTCTTATGTCTTGCAGAATGACTTGCTGGATGTGGTTGCCAGTATTCACTTATCAAAGAGAACAGTTCGAAGAATACGAATAAATCTCATTCTTGCCTTAATTTATAATCTCCTTGGAATACCCATAGCAGCAGGTATGTGACTGCCAGAGCTCAGCTTGTCGAAGACAGCAGCACAGTTGAGCTCTGTGGTGCCTCTCGCAGGATTTCCTGCTTGAGGAACCAAAGAGAGGTTCTCAGAGTATTTAAAACTTGGCAGAAGAAAGACAAAACAAATTTTAAAAAGTATTTTTTTCATGTTATAGAAAAAATCTTTGTTTCCCAAATTTTAAACTTTTAAGAATACATTCTTATATGATGAAATTAAAACCGTGCTCTTATTTCTTATAGCAGTACTCGGGGATTAGTTTCTGTATATTCAAATGCAGGTCTAATTGGAGATATCAGACCACTTCTCGGTATTCCCTCTTCTATTCACCCCGAATCACACATTTTCTCTCCTACTACTTGCATTCTCTCTGCTTCTGGCAGATATCTTCTCATCTCCAAATTCCTCCTTAAAACTTACGTCAAGCATTCCTCTTTTTCTTCATTAGTAACCTCTCCGTCCTTTGCCTGGACTATTGCCTTGTCTTTCTGTTGCTTTTGCTTTGTTTTATATGTGCAGAATAGCTGGAAGGGATAAATAGTCTTATCTTGTGGCTGCAGTATTGTAGTTGAATTGGTGCAAAGGTCATCCCTTGCAATGGAAGAGACATTTAAAAATAAGTGAGTAAATATATATCAATCTAGTTGTGTTTATGGAGGTCTCAGCAAGTCACGTTGTAGAACTGCTGATCTGTTCTATGATATGCAGGGACAGAAATGTCTGTCCTGGTGGCTGATGTCCATATGTTTTTTTGACAGGTGTGTTCATGCCAGTTGGCCTCGTGATTGGGACAGGTGGCTCTGGCTGATGTCCATATGTTTTTTTGCTAGGTGTGTTCATGCCAGTTGGCCTCGTGCTTCAGCCTTGGATGGGATCAGCTGCAATGGCAGCTTCTTCGGTGTCCGTTGTGCTGTCTTCCCTGCAGCTGAAATGGCAAGTTGTCTTATACTAATCCATTGGGGAACCGTAGGCAGCACTGCTGCTGGGACTCAAGTGAGATGTTACTTTGGGCTTTGTATACCTGAATGTACCTGACAGTCCTTTAGCTTGGGGTTGTTCTTTCTCATCCTTGGCTCCAAAAGAGACAGATGTCACTATTGTGAACACACCCGGACTAGGACTGTACTCAGCATTCTTTAACTAGCAGCTAAAAGTGTGACTGGATGCCACCTGAGCACCTGTGTTGGACGCCTTGTTCAATACCAAGTGAGGTAATGATCAGCACTGGTTTTGCTGTGACTATCAAGTGAACAAATCATTCAAAAGACAGTTATCCATAATGTAGCAGTAGATGGTTTTTTTTGAAGATTTGTACCTGATTTTAATTTTTATCTATTTAATTTAGCTAGAGAGAGACAGAGAATCTGTGTATTTATTCTTTTGGACCTTGCTACAGATAAAGTATTTTGCTCAATTTTTTGGAAGCAAACCAATTTCTGTACCATAACAAGATTTTTCAAATTCTATTAATTTTTTTATGCTACATTTTTTGGGGTACAGTTACAGTGGACCTGTTTTTAATAGCATTGTGAGCAAACATCTTTCAAAAATAACACTTTTTATGGTGTCTGAAATTAGTCCAAACCTTCAAATGCTTCTATTGTAGCTGGGGTCTCCCGTAGTGTATTGTATTGTATAGTATACTATACTATACTATACTATAGTACAGTTCAGTATAGTATAAACTAATATAGGAAATCTGTTGCTGCATCATGATTCTGATCTTGCAAATGCTCAATAAGACCACAACCTAGAATAAAAACTACATACATGCTCATATCTGTTTGCAGAATCAGCACTACTACTACTACAGGATTTTCATCCTAAAAAAATTGTGTGTAGTTATCCGAAGGATGAGAAATTTCTACAAAGGGATTCCTTTATTCTCCAATTCTTTTCATCTTATGCTGGTTACACTAAATATCGGACACCTTTGTGGTTAGATATTGAGAACCCTGCCCCAAACATATTTGGCTCCAGACTTATGGAAGCTGCATTACAGTATACTCTGTAGGACAATAATTTTTCTTGAAGCCCCACATCAGCTGAACAGAACTTCAGATTCCAAAGAACACGATAATACATACATGTGAAGAAGATTATGCACCCTTGCCATTGCTGGGCTTTTTTGGACCTAGAATACATTGAATCAGAAAGTGATTTTTGGGTCATCTGCTCCATTTCTCTGCAGTTGTCTACTACAAACCCTTTCATAATTCAGCAAACTCATAGTTTTTCTTAAAGAATCTCACTTTGAGAGTTCCTCTCTTTTACTATTGAAATGTCTTAATGCTGTGTGATGAGTACGCTTAGCCATAAATATTGTGTCTGAAGTGCAGGTAACATTTAGGTGGTCAGAAGTTTCTGATTTGTTCTAATGTTGAAGACACTTCTACACATTGGCCTCTTGGTACTAAACATGTCTTCTCTTTCTCTTCTTAGTTATAAGAAGCCAGACACAGAAAGTTATGAAGCACAAGCTCAAGGCCGCATGAAGCCACTTACTCCTTCCCAAATTAGTGTTCATATTGGAATGGATGACAGGAGGAGGGATTCTTCCAGACCGGCTCCTTGGGATCAGATTAGCCAAGTGTCTCTCTCTTCCTTGACTTCAGACAAGCTGCCGAGACGTAATGGTTTTGTTGAGGAGGAAGGGGACAAGTGGTCATTGCTCATGAACAGAGAAGATGAAGAACAGTACATCTGAAGCACTGTACGCAATTAAGGAGGAAATATTCCTCCTCATCAGCGACGGGAGGGACCGACTTATGTCATCGAGAGCTTCAAGGTTGTAAGTGAAGTCATTCCTTCAGCTCACAAAACAATTGCTACTCAGCTTGATGTTGAGTTGTATGGATTGTGGATTTTTTTCAGGTCACCAGTTATTTCTAGTCATAGAAAAGATCTGTGGCTCTATAATGAACTGGCTCCTTTGCACACAGCGATTAGTGAAAGAATGTAAAATTGTAATTTTCAGAGTCTAAAAGAGTTTCTGTCTTCTAAACTGTTTGTTGGGCACCAAATTTCATACCTTTAATTCTTTCTAACTTAATGCTTTTAAGAGCACATGAAGAAAAAGTATTTTCAGAGCTGCCAAATATTAATTTCTGTGTGCAAGTGAAAACAGCCAGGGCATAAGGAGTTCTGTGGTTGGAAGTTGTATTTTCATACAGAATCCTAACTAGTCATGTGACTGTGAGAGCACTTTGTATTTAGGATTCACGTGCATCTCCTTGGACCAAAAATGCTTCGGTGTTTCACTGACTATAACCATCTGAAAGGTCTGTTTCAAAGACTTCCACTTGCTTTCAGGTATTGCATCCTTTTGATGCACATTTCCAATGCTAAACTTGTTCTGTCATTTCCGCTGCTCTCCTAGATTTTCTCTTCTGCTCCATATGAGCCCTTTTTTCCCCTTTCTTTGTGCAAGATATGTTCTATGAGTTATTATCGTGTTTACAGACATTGTTTGGGACAAACTCCTTTAAGTCACCAGGAACTATTCTGTTCCTATTGAAGTCCACGAAGGCAGAGCAATTCCTGGTCCAAGTTACCATATCATTTTCCTGTGGAGACCTTGTAGAACCCTCTGAAGCTCCTGACAATTGGGCAGTTGTCTGTCTCTTCTCTCTGACAGAGTGAAAAATTTATGCCAGTGTGAGTGAAGGTGGTATTTACCGTGGTGTGACTGAGAGAAGAACTAGCACTGGTGTGACTCCAGCATGGCTAAATGGAGTGAGTTTATTGCATGAGTTAACCCCAGCTTGCCAGTTGCTTAAAATGGAGCCAAAAGTTTAAATGGTAAAGGTGGAAAAATGGCCTTAAAATGTGGGGCTTTTGTTATATAAATAACCTTTTCTGATTACAGAAAGACTTGAACTAAGAAGATTTGTAATAGGGTGAATTTTAATGTAAATTTGTATTCATGTTTTGAATTGGTTTTAATTTCCTTCTTTGCTCTAGTTTCATGAGAAATCAAGGTGCTGAACAACCCTTTTTCACTTTAATGTCTTTACCAAAGCTTGCAGTAACTTTATCACTGTGAATGTCAGATTCATCCCTTAACACTTTTTAGTCAGGACAGTAGGAATCAATGGCTTTGGTGTGCTGGATCCAGTCTTGGGGTGCTGCATTGCTCCACTGTGGGACTCTGAAGCCAGCAGACCAGAGTTTTATAGTCTAATCTAAACAGTGAATGAACAGGAATTACACTGCTAAGCAATGCGAAATAACCACTTAGTTTCACTGACTTAAATACAGAACTGTTTCCAACATGGATTCAAATCCTGTTCCTCCTAATGTAAAAGTGAAAAACAAGTCAAAGAGGAAAAGAACTGTGGTTAAAGCATTGAGCCGGTCTTCCTGTTCTCTCTTCCTCTTAGTGTTATATTTGAGCTCTCCTTAGCAAACATCAACAGCACTGTCTTAAGTACAAATACAAATCAGTTTTAAAACTCTAAAATCTCTTTACATGTGTAGAGGTTACTTTCACAGCACACACACTTTTCAAACATGCCGGGGGTTCCTATACATGTCCCTGTGGGGAAGATGGTCTACTGTTTCACTGTTTTATGTTTTCTTACCAGTGCTTACAGTAAAAATACTGTGTTTTTTTTTTTAAAAAAAAAAACAACCCAAACTGAAAACCAAACAACTTTGTGTCTTTGTTTTTCTTTTTTTGGAGGGGTACAGCAGAAAAAAAAAAGAGCATAAACAGTGACTGTTGGATTGCAGGATACATATACACAAGAGAGATTTTGTGACTGCTTTATGATCTATTTCAGGTGGTATATATAGAAGGGAAAAAAGAGACCGTTTCATATCATGTGCTGAGGCAGGTGAGGTTGCAAGCATGTTGAAGGATGGAGTTAGGATTCAAAATCATCTTGAGAAATTGGACAGAACTGACAAACTTTGCAAACAGGAAAGAGAGGAATTAAAAGTCAGCTCGGCAGAAAAAGGTCAGGTAGTTGGCTGGCATTCATTTTGTGACCCCTTCTAAAAACATAGTGGTGCTCCAAAATGGACAGAAACATTGAGATGTATAAAGACTGCATCATCCATATGACATAAAATACCTCTTTCTGTTCAACTCTGGAGAGGCATCAGCTGAAGTATCAGGTCTAGTTTTATATGTCATACTTGTTAGGAAAAAACGGAGGAGAGCAATGAGATTTAACAGAAATCTAGAAAACATGTGAACATAAGTACATGAGAATGAGAAATATAAGAAGAATATCGAAGGAGTTTAAGTAGGTTTGCCTACAGAATACTCAAAGGAAATACAAACCTCCAAACACAAAGAGAACAATTTATTCCTTTCATCTTTTCAGTGTCTTTTATGTTCGTGGTGGCTAGAACAAGAAATAATAGGCTTATTGAATCAAAGAAGATTTAGATTAGTCACCAGGGAGGAACCGTGAAACAGGAAAGATTATGGAGCACTGGAAGAGATCGCCAAGGGGGCTCTTCAGATGCATATGGCAATCATCAGGCATGTATCTGATGACAATGCGTTAGCCAGAGGTGAATCCTGCCTTGAGGCAGGTGACTGCCCTGGACAATCCCCTGACCTTCTCTCCAGCTGGCCTTTCTCTTATTTCTGTGAACGTAACATGAACTGGAAAATTGTTGGAGTAGAGGACTGATCACACTGTCCTGCTCTCAAGAGGTGCCAAAGGACCGGAAGAAAAATCGGCTTTGACTTTATTTAATAACTTGAAATGAACTGGAAAATATGTTAAGGTTTCCTAACTATATTTGCATAATGTCTTAGACTGTAAACTGCTGTGAAACTTGCATAAATGCCGATAAGGAAGTTAGCATAGCTACACAGAGTCAAGAAAAATAAATATAAGTGCTAGTCCTGACATTTGTGATCATGTGCTCTTGTTAAACCTGAGCTGACTCACTGGAAGGTGTCTGATGGAGGACAGCATCTACATTTCTGTGTAACATAATTATGACCTTTCTTTAACTTCACTGTGACCACCGGCCTGCAGACCCCCCAGCAGAGCAAGGTGTTGGCCTGTGACTGGCGGTCCTCTGTGCTATGACTCAGGTCCAGTAAAAGGGCTGGAGGACGGTGCCCAAGAGGACAGGCTCTTGGGGTAATCCCGAAGCTCGGTGCCCTGGCTCCTTGCCAGTACACCACACTTCAACGCGTGCCCAGGACTGAGTATTTTGATGGATTAGAGAGTGTGGAGGAGCTTTTCAAATGCCAGCTTTGGTCTTAGGTGTCTGCATTGCGCATGTTCTCCCTGCATGACTCAGTTACTGCTGATCTGACCCTAAAGATTGATATAGCTGATGATTTACGTGGGACATCTTGTTATTTTGCCCTGGAGTGAGTCTTTTCCTGTAACTTTTTTTTTCTTTTAGGAACACAAAAGACACCTAATGAATCAGATCTTTGGCTTTCATGTCATTTTTAGTGCAATAGCTCAGGAGCAATGTTTCCTGTGAAGTTTTTCAACTGTTTTTCTTCTCCCGCTACAATTTTGCCATAAATTTTTTTGGTGCCCTAAGTTCACAAGACAGAAATTATTCCATTTCATTTCTTCCTCCCTTCCTCCTTTTTTAAGCAAATTGACTGTCTGATTTCTATCTGAGCTAATTACAACCCTTCTCTGGCTAAAAGTTCTTCCAAGGACTGTATTTTCTCTAGATGCACTTGTGTGCGAAGAAAACAAACGAGTAGGTGGTGAAATTATACAATGGTGTACAGGGATGGGAAATCAGATAACACTGAAATGTCAGATTTAATTTCCTCTACTAAAGCGCCAACAGCAAGCGTGTTGGTTTTCAGTGGGAAATCACTTGAGAGTCACAACAAAAGAAGTGGTGAAGGGCAAAGCATCCTGCTCACATGTGAGTCTTAGGCTCAAACACGGGAGGAGGCAGAATAATTCCTCTCCTTGTCTCGAGTTAAAAGCACCCAGACTTTACAGGCAAGCACAGCCCACCCACAGGCTCTCTGTGCACTGATCTGATTTTCATGTTTTGTTTATCTTCATGCATAAAAGGATGATTTCTGAAGTTTCCACTGATGCTGCAGGTGAAGGGGAAGGGATGTCGCAGGAGGAGGTGTGTGTTTGTTTCCCCACTTGGGTGTTCAGCCGCCCCAGGTGGAGGTAAATCCCCTGGGAGATTTGTGCTGGTCAGTGCTGCGGTTCAGGGGCATCGGTGCGAGTTTTGGGTTGGGGGGCTGTGGCGCCTGACAGCCAGCACCTCACCTCGCTGGGGACCACGAGATGTCACTGCAGGTCCAGCCCAAGCCAGAGAATCCCCTTAATCTGTAAAGCATCTGAAAATCCCATACATTCAGTGCTGGTTACTAGCGAGGGAAAAAAATGCAAAGGGAGCAGTTTAAGTCAAATAATACAGCGTGTCTAAAATTTGGGGCTGACTTGGCATTATATAGCCCAGGAAAAGATTTTAGGCTAGCATTTATTTGCCTTGAGCTCTGACTTGCTACTTTCTTTGTATTATTTGACTCTTAAGTAAATCCTAAGCTCCACATATGCTGTCTGCTGAAATTACTGTTGGCTTTCTTTTTCCTTCGACAAGCTGAGATTCAAGAAGAAAAGCAGTGCTGCAGGAAGGCGAAGCATGGTGCCTGCACCCTCAGAGCAAACCTGCGCCTTGCGATGCGAGTTTAAGCTCCCCAGGCAGCTGAGGGTGCAAGACTGCTTGTTTGGTTGGTTTTTGGTTTTTTGCAGACTCTTACCTTAGGGGAAGTCACCTTGTAGACGCACCATAAGGGTCCAGGAATGCATTTCTGTTCAGAGGAGCACCAAGGCACAAGTGTAAATCCTTTTGGAGTCAATGAAGGTAAGGCACATGCTCAGCACTTCTCTGAACTACAGCTGCATGTGTCTCATGATAGATATAAAAAAAATTTAGGCATAAATCTGAATATTTGAGGCCTCCACAGACTTGGGGAGCTACCCAAAATTCAGGTTACTTCCTTTAAAATAAAT